GGTTTGAGTCCTAAGTAAGTAAATCCTAAGTAAGTTATAAAAGCCCTATAAGAAAATTAGGTTGAAGGTTACAGTAAGATATATTTTTCAGAGGTTCAAGTCCTCAAGGAATTATAATAAATAATAATATGCCATTTAGCAGACGCTTTTATCCAAAGCGACTTACAGTCGTGCGTGCATACATTTTTGTGTATGGGTGGTCCCGGGGATCGAACCCACTACCTTGGCGTTACAAGCGCCGTGCTCTACCAGCTGAGCTACAGAGGACCACATAATGTGGTAAATGTGTTAGATATTAAGGTTTGAGTCCTTGGTTGAAGGTTAAAATCATTGGAATAGATTGTTACAGTGTTAGATGTGTTAGATATTAAGGTTTGAGTCCTTGATTTAAGGTTAAAATCCTTGGTAGAAGGTTACAGTTAAAATAAGCCATAATTGATTAAGGAAGTGACAACAATATAGAGGAGAAGTACAAATTAAGGAGGTTCAGTCTTCTGAGAGGTTGAGTACTGTGGTGAAGAGAGAATTAGTCCTGTGTGAATTACTCCAAACGGTCAGGACAGAGACAAAACAATCAATCATACTGAATAAAGAATCAGATACAAGTGAACCTGTTGAATCATGGCACCAAAGACCAAATAGGCAAACACAATTTTAATAAAGATCAAGGTGGAGATTTGATTCAAACATTGAATTACTAATATTGTATAAACGAATAATACATGAGGATGGGGAGTCAATTCAGTATACCGATTACGGGCAAGACAGTGATGATAAAGAATAAATCAGAGCTAGATTTACCTCAAAGGGAGCGAAAGGTTATGACGAAATTGTTGCACACAAATCCGCATCTAAAACATGTCTCTTTTAAAAGTATTGAAAATCAAACACCGCGTGACTGGATGTTAATTAAATTAGGGGTTTTCTATGTGGAACCATATCTTAGTGATTTATCGGCATGGACAGATAATGACTATCCTCGTGATGGTAGTTTTGAAAGGGATAAATTACAAGTAGCATGAAAGTATATAAATGATAATACAGCCATAAGCAACCCGAAATGGGATTTAGATTATATGGGATTTAATGAGTGCACAATGGCCGGTAAATATAATTAGGAAGGAGGAAAAGTCTGTTAGGAAATTAAGTATTTTGACAATGGAGCAACATAATCTACCTTATGAAAAGAGTCAGTCCATAGGGGCTATTAAAGGATCTGAAAGTATGAAAGAAATGTATCCACAGTTAGCAAACTCTATTCAGCCTCCAGCTTATAGTATTGACATAGAAGAGGATAGCGACATATATGATTGGTTATTTATAGAATCTTACGGAAGTCAGGCTAAAAAATGTATTCCTAAAATCAGGTCAACATACATGTTTCCTATAGTCAAAATAGATAACTTTGAGATCAAAAGGTGGCGAGAGGAATGCCGGGCCTTGTGGTTACAACGCTTTGGTAGAGCTTGCGAAACGGCAGAAAGAAGGTTTAGAGGTCATACAGGACAAATAAACATTGAAAAAATTAGATATAATAGAGAGTGTATATAATATAACATTATATTTACAATACTCAAACAAAAACAAAACGTTGATTTAAACGATAGATTAGCAAATACAATTATGGAATTCTTTGTTGAAGCAGTGGAACATTACCAAATAGAGAAAAAGATAAGCCTTGACCCAACCTCAGCCGTCCAGACAAAATATATAAAAGGAGTTGTATCTTGTATTTTAGACAGTGAAGTGGAAAATATTTGTCAGAGAGTTGAATTGATTGTGGATGATTTGGCAAGTAGAGATAGAAATAGACAATATGAAGAGGATAATATACAGAAGGAAGAAGTGATGGCACCACTTTTAGTCATGGAAGATAGGGTTTTGGATAAGCCACTTACGTTAGCTGAAATTTCTCAAATTATAAAAGATGCACTGCAGCCATTAATAAACCCACTAAGATTCATGAATTGGTGGTGCACAGCTTTAATGCATGGGTCGATGAGAGGTAAAGACAGCTATTAAAAAATATTAGGGAATTAGAGGCAGTAGGATTATTCAATGAGCAGAAACCAACAATTCAGGCACCGCAATTTCCCCACTACAAACAGCAGGATAAACTGATACCATTTCAGCAGCGTACAAATGGTCAATTCGTACCTTATAATAATAATCGAGGGAGAGGCAGGTCAAATGGTAATTTCAGAGGAGGAAGAAGGAGGTTTAACAGAGACATGGATACTTGCAATTATTGTAAACAATGGGGACATTGGGTTCGAGAGTGTAACGTTAGATTACAGGATGAGGAGAGGCGGAGATATGGAGATAGAGAGAGGGGGAATTGGACTCCTGCCCAACTGCACCCTAATTCCCAGAATAAACCTAAAGAGGAGATTCCGGGGAATGTATTATGGGGGCAATGACATACAAAACTGATAGACAGGAAGGAAGTTAAATACATGATAAATGCACCACAATTGCATATTTTGGACAGCCCATTAGAAATACCACAGTTAAGTTTATGTGTATCTGGTAAAATAATTCAATTTCTAATTGATACAGGGGCAACTATGTCATGTTTATGGCAACAAGATTTAAGGTGTCCTTTTAGTACTCAGAAGGTCCAGTCTATCGAAATTAGTGGAACTCCGCAAATTGATCCAATATCTCTCCCATTGCAAATTGATTTGGATGATATTCATTTTCAACATTCATTTATAGTAAGCGCTACGACTCTGATGGCGTTAATGGGAAGAGACCTGTGATCACCACATTAGCCCCAGGCGGCTATAAAAATAAATTATGCAATTATATGGCCATTAAATAACACACAACAGCACGTGTAAAAGTTAATTCATAGTCGTAACATAGGGTTTGTATGTTTACAGATCTAATTTAATGGTTATGTTTCATGCTATTCACAGGATATATTGTTCTGTCTCATGAACAGCACAGGGGATGTTCAGTGTGCTGCGTGGCTATATTGACGGAAAACAGTTTCCATGGGATCGAATGGTGGGCTTTTGCACAGATGGGGCTCCATCTATGGCGGGACGGCGGGCAGGCCTCTGCACTCTAGCTATGAATGTATCTCCCTCTGCCATTTGGTATGATACACAGAGAGAAACTGGCGGCAAAAGAGCTGAGCAAAGAACTCGGAGATATACTGCATCAGCAGTGGAGGCTGCTGAGGGGAGAACAGCACATAATAATGTCTGGAACAGACGAGCGGAATGGCATCAATCACATAGAAACCATGTGTTTGATGTATTTGATACCATTCCACTCATTCCCCTCCAGCCATTGCCACGTCCTCCCCAATTAAGGTGCCTCCAACATCCTGTGTGCAGCAGGTATTTTTGATTGTAAACTACATCAAACCACATCCACTGTGTGCACACCTGTTTGCAAAACTATGTGGATATATGAGATCAGCGCATGACAATGTTCTATTTCACATCGAGGCTTGGTGGTTATCGAGGGGGAGTGTTGGAAAGTTTTTTGCATTGAGAGAAGAACTGTTGTCATTCACAATGGATGTAAAAAAAAAAAAAAGCACTTGGTTGACTTTCTGTGTAATGAAAAGAAAAGGTGTCTCCTTGCCTATGCAACAGACATATTTGGGAAACTGAACGAACTGAACACAAGCATGCAGGGGAAATACAAAAACATTCTATAGATGAGCGACCGAATTAGTGGATTCAGAGGAAGGAACTGGACTGGAGTGTGGACCTCAGTTCATCTTTCAAACACCCACGTGGGTATATGCTCCTAAAAACCAATGAGGAGATGGGAGAGGCGGGACTTGCAGCGCGTCAAGAGTCACAAATAGAACCAAGTTCTATTTTAGCTCCTGGCTACGCAGACTCTCGTTGACGTGCGCAAGCAGTTTGGATGCAGTGATTGAATAACATGAATGTGTAAATTAATTTACCAATGCTCGCAGTGTGGTCAGCATGTAAGCTCCGACGTGACATGCATAAAGCACACCCATCTCATTAGTGGTGATGACAAAATATACATTATATCAGACTCATTTGCAATTGGCTGTTATAGCTTCACATTAAAAGTATGTGATGGTGAGTTGAGAAGACAATCAGAAATAGCCTACTGTTAGAATATTTTTCAATTGACCCAAATAAAAAAGTAAACATTGGCTGTTAATTACATAATTTTCTTCACATGGTTGGGTGTAGCGAGAATTTTCAGATAGCCTATCAAAATGGGGTCGTGGCCCAAAGAAGTTTGGGAACCCCTGATCTATGGTAAGCATTTGACTATATCTATCAAATAAAAAACACACAGAGGAGGGATTCTACAAACACTCTAGGAATGTGTATGTAGTCATCTATGGATCTGAGATGCTCCTGACTTTCCTGTCTGAATGGCGGTGTTCTTTAGGACTCAGGTGCATATACTGTACATGCTGTGAAGTCTGAACTAGGGTACGGCACAGTTACACACTCACATCCATTGACTTTGAGCATGTGAAGTGTTGGAAGGGCCACCATGTGTTTTCTACCTAGATACTCTGCTGTCAGAACGGATTGAATATTTCTGATTGGTTCTTGATAAGAACCAGTGAAGTAGGTTGTCACTATCTGGCCATGGGCAAAATCATAATCAGATTTTAAACCTTGACCTTGAAGGTCCAATTGCAGCTGTTTTTATATCAATATCAAATCATGTCTGGGTAACAATTAAGTCACTTACTGTGATTGTTTATAAATAAAACCTCAAAAATGCAAAGAGCAATTTCTCAAGCAAGAATTTAGCTAGGACTGTCTGGGAGTCGTCTGAATAGGGAAAGGAAAACTGAAAACTAGAAACACAAGAAAATTGCGTTTTGGACTGTACTGTGCCTTTAACCCTAACCTTAACCATACTGCTAACTGATATAGCCATGACTCTTCCACTTCCCATCTAGTTAGAACCAGTGAAGTACAGCGCTGGTTCTTCCTTTTTAGAGCTTCCACTCAGAGTCTGACTGAGTTCGATTCTACAGTACTCTCTCAAACACACAGATGAGTTTATGATTAGAGAGCTTGGAGATGAACTGCTCTGATATTATACTGATTCTAACTGGAATTCTCACCTCGGCACAACGTAAGAGCTCTTGATTTCTGTTATCTTTTTAAATACTGTTTGAGTATTAATGTCATGTGCATGTGTGAGGAATCAGGTAAACTGTCAATATAACCTGGGCCTCTGCATTGCTCTAATATGCAAAACCAGCCATTCAGCTTCAGTGTGCAGTCATTTCTCTAGTCCATTATTATCTAGTCCCCTATGGAATACGGACCAGATGGATTCATTTGACTTGTATTTCTACTCTCATTTCAGTTCAACATGAATTGATGGTTACCTATGGATGCTTTGAGTCAGGTGATACTGAGGTGGTGTTGTTGATGGATGGGAATGAAGTCGGCTATGCTGATTTCAAGGAAGGAAAGGGGGTGTGGACGGTGCCTAATGTTCCACCAATTATAACATCCCAATCACTGATAGCTTATGAATATGCTAAACTGTCTAGAATTTGGTGCATGGAGCGTATGAAATTTGGAAAAGGTGCAGTACCCAGCATACCACAAGTCAAAGGTAAGTCCGATTCTTTATTAGATTGTCTGCATAAGCCAGTAAAAAACGATGCATAAATGTAGATGTATTTTACTGTATACCTTTTACCTGGAAGAGTGTGTTAGTCTGAGGTTGGAGTTGGAGTTGCATGACACCTGTAAAAGCAGTGCCCTCTAGAGTGGGTGATGAGCCTTTTAGTGTAGTGGACAGACAGTGGAATACTGAATATCAGACCACATCCTGAATGGGTTTGGTCCATCTTACTGTCACTGGTGGAGTCTCTTTCTATTTTCTGGTTTCTATTTGCCCCCAAGATGCCCCTGAGAGCATCATCTACCCCAGGGATGAGGAGGAGTTGGGGGTGGAGAACACGCTCATCTGCTTTCTGAATCATTTCTACCCCCCCCCCATCAAAGTCAATTGGACCAAGAATGGCCTGGAGGTGACTGAGGGAGCGTATCTCAGTCGGTACTATCCTAATAAAGATGGAACGTTCCACCAGTTCTCCACCCTGAGTTTCACCCCACAGGAGGGGGACGTCTATGCCTGCACTGTGGAGCACACGGCCCTGAAGGACCCCAAAACCAGGTTCTGGGGTGAGGGGAAATTCTGAATAGTATACTTTAGATATTTCAGTAATATGTCTACTACAGTGTGTGATTACTGGATGTTCTCTCTGACTAATCTCTCATGGTGTGTTTTACTGGCTAACTCTAACTCTAACTGATGGCACTTCTGTCCTTCTGTCCCCAAGAGCCTGAGGTCAGTGAGGTGAGTGGGTCCAGTGCTGGTCCTGCTGTATTCTGTGGAGTGGGTCTGACTCTGGGACTGCTGGGGGTGGCTACCGGAACATTCCTCATCATCAAAGGAAACCAGCGCAATTGAGAACCAGAGATACAGAATAGAGGTGAAAGTGACATGTTAAAGGGCTGACATGGGGGTAATGTGGGTAATGTAGATAATGGGGTAATGTGGGTAATGGGGTTATGGGGGCAATGTGGGTAGTGTGAGTAATGGGTAATGGGGGTATCGTATCTGAAGATTATGCCTTTGTTAAATGTTTTTCATGACGAAATGGAATGTTGGTTGTTCAGGCCAAAGGGGGGAGGTTTTATGATGTTATTTGAAATGTGCCGCTTGGAGGGTGACGCCCGAGGGGAGACTGGTGATTGGCCAGAAGAGGGAGTAGCCCCTCCCTTTGCATTGTTTATAAATAGGGGGTAAACGATTAGACGGCAGAACGGCCATAGCAATCTGGGGAGCCGTTCTCCGGACATCGCGAGTCTGTATCTATGCTGTAGATTCGTGATTTTAATAAAAGCCTCTAACACGATGCAGTATGGCGAACTCTTTGTTGACAGCGATAATTGCCACCATTCATCATATACGACATAATGGCGCCCAACGTGGGGCTGGTTTGCGTCTCCTCTGTGTTTCAGTCAATCGCCGGGCTAACTCTCTCTGAGGGAAAAAAGGGTGAGTGTTCTTACCGCTTCGGAGTTTGTTAGATTGGATATGACTTGTGTACATTGAGGGGATGTTCCATTATCACCCGGCCTCGGTGGCGTTATTGCTGGTCAACTAGAGTCGGCTAAAATTTATCCCAGGGGAAACGGCAGATAATTGGGAGTTTTTAGAGCATGAAACGGTAGGATTTAAGTATTGAAGTGACGATTAAGGCAGATATGCGCATTCTTTAGGGCACTGTACCACTTAAGACCTCCAGGGGGGGCCATTTTAGATGTCGGGCCGACAAATCCGTTTACACGATAGAATGGGTGGACGGTGGGTTTCTTTTCTTAAAGAGAGCTCGGATTCATGGGGTTTATCTGATTGTAATTATGATTTGACTCTCGTCCGACGGGGCGTTTGATTGGGTCTGATTTCTCGGTGTAATGGTCATTAGTCCCGGTAGCAAAAACGGTAGGATAAATATGTTAAAATTGATAGGGCAGTGCAGGGTTTGTTACATGTTGTAGGCTGCCGTTAGCTAGAGGCTAAAGGCTAATTGTGTTGTGTGCTACATGCTAACGTATCCTTAGAGATTCCATTGCGATGGATTAAAGTCTCTTAAATTTGTCTCTGTCTGTAAGTCAGGTTATATGTTTTGTGAGCGCTGTTAAATGTTGTTTGACTATAAGGGGGAAATGGGAAATTACAGCTGGCTGTTATTCTGTCTGTTTGGGGAGAGAGAATAGAAAATCTTCCTTTCACGGTGAAAAGGGATTTTTGAATGGTTGTGCGCATGCGTTTAATTTTGCGATACTACCCTCCAGAAAGGGGGAGGTTATGACACGAGATTAGGACACGTGTTGGTTTCACGGGGCTAAAAACTACGAAATGAGGTTGGCTAAGCCTACAAAACAAAATGGTGGCTTAAGGTCATAGGTCCCATTTGGCGTTACCCTGCAAGGGAAAATAGACAGAGGAGAAATTTTAACACGATGATTCTAGTTTAAACTGTGATTGGTTAAAGATGAAACTTGTTTGGTAGCCTATGGAATTTATAAATTAGATATATGGTAGCGGATTATAATACATTTAATTAAAGAATTAAATAACGGATTAAAATAAAATAAAAGGTTTTTGAGCGATCTATTTAATTCTGAGTTTAGTCTTAGAGTGAATAATGTAGAACGAATGAATATTGAATGGTTGGAAATACTCAGTGATTGCATTAACTGCTGAAATCGTGTGTGTTTCTATGTTTTTGTGAAATATGAGAGGAACATGGAACGGCGAGATGAGAGAGAGAAGGGGCTGACGTGTGCGTCACGAACAAGGTGTGACGAGGCAGACGAGAGGATCGGATCAGGCTAGTATACAAAATCATCCTAACAGAATATGTGATGTTGTGACCATTTCGCATAGGCGTGGCAAACTGATTCATTAAAAATTGCATTTTGGAGGCTATGTGCATCACTGGGGTTTAATTACAGATGTGTTGGGAATCCAGGATGGATTGAGGATTCTTCTGTAAATTTATGATAATTAAAGCTAATAGAGCAAGGGGTTAAAGGCTTTGTTTAGGGGTATTTTAGTCTGAAGATGACTAACTTGCATTTATTTGCATTTGATGGGTTGTGGTAAGATATACTCAACACTAATTGATATTGGTGACATAGGAATAGGAATTGGGGTTAATTATTTAGGATGGTTAATGGATTTGTTTAGGGTATATTAAGAATTACAGGGGGGAAGTCTATATAACTTATATAAGTCTAAAATAGGATAGTTCACAATAAAGGAATATAAAGGGCTTGGTATAGGGGAAAATTGAGTAAAATAGTCATTTTTTAATCAAAGTAATCAAAGTAGGGTTAGAGTAGTGTTAGGAGAGACTAATGGCAGATGTTAGTACACCTTTCTCACATATGGATTCAGCAGAAAGACATCATCCAGCAGGGTGATTATGGCATCAGACATGAAGACGAATACGAGCAGAAACAACGATGAAGATGAATCCAGAAGACGGAAGAAAACCGAGATGTCTGGGAACTTAAGGAGATGAGGATGATGACGATGAGAGTGATTGATGAGAGGTCATGGGTGGAGGTGACTCTGTGATCAGAAGGAAGTGGCAAGAGAGGAAAGAAGGATACTGGAGATTTAATCTCTGATTAAAGTTGAACGAAGAAGGGGACAAGAGATTCGAGTTCTGATGAAGAAAGTGAGAAGAATAATACAGTGAGGCCAAAGGAAAGGCCACTGGTAAGAAGATGATATTTCAAGGACAGAACTTAGAAGATAACCTTTTGAAGAATACTGATAGGTCCACAACGAGAAGAACCGGACGAAGAAAACTCTATCAAATACAACTTATAACTGGTGGTGGAGAAGACGAAAAGAAGTGTTGGTTATGAAGAATCAGAGTGAATCAAATCAACAATCACTGTTACAGCTTTAACTGAACAATATCAAAGGCAATTGTACCAACCAAGGGGGGACCAGATGTTCCATATCGACTGTCAGTTTCTGGACAGACACAGAATTGGAGAAGAAGAAACAGAGGAAGATCAACGAGCAAGTGAAGATCACCGGTGCTTCAGGTGAACACTAAATATTCTAGAGTGCCGAGAATATCCGGAAGGGGTGCATTGCTGAGAGCCTCGATTAGAGAAGAAGAGAAAATAGCTAACAGTTGAAACCACCGGCCATTAGAAGTGATAGTGAATAGGGGAAAACTTATCTGTGTTCAGCCTAAAGAGGTTAAACATCTCACTAATTGATAACTAATTAGGATAGGGATTTGAGGTAGTACTTACTCTTAAAGTACTAATATTAGAAGATACTGTTATTGTAGTGTTGGGAAGAGAATTGAAGCGTACAATAAAGATGTACACTAGACGACTGACTGTCTGGTAGCATATTTTAAAAAGTAGGGTTTTTGGGGAATCATTTGCTTAAAAGATAAATATCATAGGAAGGATGATAATGTATTAGATTACCTGTTAGACAATCTGTCTGGGAAAAAACTTAATAGGGGTGACTGTTATTTTGGGTTACATTCTTACACTAAGAGATTTGAGGTTAGGCTAAAAGGTGTTTAGTCGGTTTTGCCAAGTCTGTGTGTAATGAGTCAGAAGCAGGTGGGGAATTTTCCCAATCACATATTCTAAAAATTTGGTGGTAAGAGATTTTGTCAATAAGTCAGGGGAAAAGGTTTTAAATGTTATGAGAGAAAAGATTAGATTAAAATAGGTTAGGAGAACTAGGGGTGAAGGAACTCTGAGACAGTAAGTTAAGTTTTAAAGCTAGTAGTAAGAGAGAGAACAATGGTGAATGACACTGTCCAGTAGGGAGATCAAGGTCATTATAGGTGTATTTTGTTATAATCAGGAGGTTTAAAGTTTAGAGGTAGAACTGAAAGGGGGAAAAAGTGACACTAGGGGTGATGGATGGAAGTACAAGGAAAGAGTTCAGAGCTTAGGGGAAAACTAGGGATGAGGTAGTAAAAATAAGGACATTAACACTTCCGTCTATTAGAACAACAGGGAGAAGTAATTTAACTCTTTCAACATTGATAGTTATTAAAGCCATAAATATAGCGCAGTTGATTAAGGGTCCAGCATCAATTATAGGGGGAAAATACTGTTATGAGGGGTAGGAGAATAATAATTATAATATGCCATTTAGGATGATGACGGTTCTTTCACAGAGAGAGAGAGATAATTATGGAGAATAAGTATTGTTATCAGGACCAGGAGTAAAAGGAGGTATAGTTTAGAAGAGGGTTAGGAGTGACTGTTCACTTATGTTGCGTAATATTATAGAGAAAGTACTTATTTAGGGCAAGCATTAGAATTTATTTCGGTTAGGAATTATTGGTTAAAGGGCAATGTAATTCATGGTTAAAGGGCAATGTAATTCATAAAGTAACGCTTATAATGGAAGATTTGAAGTCTGTAGAAGTTTTCACAGTCATTGAGGGAGTTCAGGAGGAGTAGAACTGAAGGGACAGTAGTCACTCCAACAGTAGATAATACACAGAGGATAATGGGAAATTTTGCACTAGAAGTAATTAGGGTTGATACAGCAGCTAAATCAACTACTTTAAGGGTAACTTTGGAAGGGATTAATGATACTATGGCAATAGCAAATATAGGAGTATGATACTGACAACAATTGTTCTGAAATTAAAGAGGTAGCAAGAGGGACTCAGGAGGTTATGGTACGAATGGGGTTAAAATAGAGCAGATAGAAACAATATAGATTAATCTGAAATGGAGAATAGAGATTCATCATGGAAGCTGCAGTATGGGGTCTTTTGATTTTGATGACAGAGGGGGGGGGGCATCTGATCAGTGCTGCTCGTTCCTCTGTTGTGGAAATTAGAGATAGATTAACTCATTCTGTAGGGTCAGTGAGGAATCTTGAGGGTCCATGTCTGTTGAGAATT